GCTGCATACATGATGCCTCAACATAGGATTGCTCTCTCTTTAGGAAGTCAATGATTTTAAAGATGTTGGCGTGATTCTCGGCTAGTTTTGACAGTTTCCTGTGCCACCCTTCTACATGATTTGTGGTCCGGGGACTCTCAGTGGTAAAGTGGTGCCACGTGGTTCTACCATGGTCACCTTCCACCCAGTATGAGGTTACATAGTCAGTAAATCGTTCAACATTATGTCCAGGAGGAGCATCCTCTAGGGCCTGCCACCACACATCGCTCACACTGTCAACTGGCACAAGAGGCAAGGCAATTGCCCGTCTCACAAGAGGAGCGACATCTGGATTGTCCTTATACTAGTAATCGGTTGCTAAGCCCAGTTTTTGGACTTTCCTCCAAACACTCTGGCTGAAATGGAAATAACAACCTTTCAAAATTACATTTGGGAAAGTCCTAACAATGGCGTTTTGAGCAGCGTTGGATTTAAAATAATGTTCTTAGAGGCTGCAACACTCTTCACATGGTCAAAGAAATGTTCGTATGTTGTTTGCGTCTCACCTGGCAGCAGCCCATACACTAATGGACACATGCATGGATGGTGTAGAGCTGGTGTAGAGCTGGGTAAAAACACCAGGGCATTTGTCGAATGTCCCATCACAGTACAGAACATCTGCTTCGGAGAGTAGTCGTAGGTTGTCGTCTGTTGCATAAGGCGAGGATCTTGTCGTTGTCGCCGATGGAGAACAGCAGAAAGTTGTCGTCGGCCTGGGTCTTGGTGTAGACATCGGGTAGATCTATAGCTGATCTTGTGGCTGGCAGATAAGGGATGTCTGACCGCCCCTACCAATGGGAATGAACTTGACATTCACTTGTTGGTTAGCCATCGTGACTGACTTGATAGCCGACCATATGTATCATTATACACTGATGGTGATGGTAAAGAGTGTTCACTAAATTTATTAAAAAATCAGCAACAACAACAAGTCAATAACCTCAGTTCATGAACGGTGAACACCGTTCACCTGGATGAGACTGATTAATGTCACGTACCAGGACCGAATTTCACGGGGAGCAGTGTAGTCACTAACCCGTGTACACTAATTCTCTTTAATCCCTTATCATAACTTTAGGGTGGTGGGTAAGTGAGAATGACCCCTGGCAACATGGGAGTAAATCGATTTGAGCTCGCATATCTTGCTCAGACCATACCTTAATCCCCTTTTGTTAACTAATTGGTCGTGGCCTGGTGGACCCCGACTCTAAACAACAGGCACTCCTAATCCCTTATCCAACTTTCAAATTCGGACAGGAGATCTCGGGTATAATTACAGGCATAGCTCGCCACCGAGGTATTCCGATTTTGCCTGAGGATCCTCTCTGTATATATTTGAAGGTAAGTCACTTTTACTTGTTACTTTGTCATTTGGTTAAACTTGGTTTAAGTACTTCTAACCGTGCTACTCTACTTGAACAATGAAATCATCTTACTTTAGTCTAAAATGCTGTTAGAATTTACCGTTAAATGTATGAATAATCGAGAATGCCGGATAAGAAATCACTATTTTCCTAGGCCACCATTAGTGTATCAGACGCCTAAACTATTTCAGTTAAAATATAACGTTTGCTTTAGTTAATGGAGTCGTAGATGCTTATAGTCAATACATGCCCAACGTGTATAATGTTTACAACATGGTCCAAGTGTCTGTATTTTTATCTCTGCCGTGTCACTTTTTCAATACGAATAGTATTCTGCAACAATATTATATTTATTTGTCTTGACCAATAATTCTGAATTACCAGTTAATTGAATGTTTGTTCCTTGCCTTCATTTGTGTATATGCAATAAATAGTCCTGTTTTGCCTGAGATCCCTCTCTGTTTGTATTCGAAGGGCGTGGAGATCCCGGAGCTAATTCCCCGAAATAATCCTAGGTTTTAACGGCCACAACAACGTTTTCTGTCTCATTGAAATGTCTCAAGAGAATGTCATTTCTCAAATGAATGTATAGTTAATATGAAATGAATACAAGTTGAAGTAGTTTCAGTCTCTTTTAATAACTGACAAGAAACTTGAAACCCAGATTAAGTAAACACTTAACAGGTAACAGGGGCGGGTAACTAAAAATCAAAGTGAACGAATCTGGTACTTCCTGTATTTTTGCACTACGCATTTATCAACGGAAGTCAATTACTAAACTATCAATAGTCTCACATATTATCGATGAATCGATAGTTTTTCGCTTCTGCCATCGATTAAATGCTATTGGAGACTCAACAATTGCAATCCATCGATAGTTCGATGCATCGTTACAGCCCTAATTCACACACTTACTTCACAGATATCAGTTAACATGTCCCCTTTACTGCTATGGGTTAACTTATCTACAGGTTAACACACACATTACACAAACATGGGTTAACAAAGTAATACATACTTCACGTTTGGGTTTAACACATTACAGAAAAGGGTTAAATCACCTACTTCAACCATCTCTTTAACATGTACAGGATATGGACTTTACCTCGTCAACGAGCGTCCTATAACTCGTCAAAAGAATGCGAGGATACTGCGTTGTTATGACAGTGGGGAAACCCCCCGATGGAGATATGTATGTGATGTCTGTTATGTTGTTACGCCATTGTGAGCGTCAGCGACGTCTCACTCCTCATCGCGCCCGACAGCGATGGCGTCAAACTCAATGGTCCTCAATGATGGCATTTCCAGGAAAAAATTAAAATAATATCTAATCATTAAGGTTTAAAGTGGGCATACGTGTGGTAATCCTAAACATTCATTGTACTGGGGTCATGTTTCAGGCAGTTGCACGCAGCTCCAGACAGCTCACATGCAGCTCGTCAGCTAGTAGCTCAGGAGCCGAATAACTGCCAATTGAAAAACAACCACTTAACACTGCCTAATCAACGTGATATTTATTTCCCTCAGGTGTTTAAAGGGGTAATTGTGTCAGGTACGTTACAAAGCTCGGCTCCACGGAGATAAGTAAACTGACGTACGAAAGAAAGTATGCACGTGTTATTTTTGGATTATTTTCCCCCAAGCAAATATTTTGAAAATTGTTTTAACTGTGACATATAAGGCACGAACATTGTGCACATGTTGAAAAATCTCCACATACATCTTTTTGACTGAGTGAGTGAGCGAGTTTAGTTTTTCGCCGCCAGCTTTTAGCATTATTCCAACAACATCACGGCGGGGGACACCAGAAATGGGCTTCATACATTGTACCCATGTGGGGAATCGAACAGCCTGACGAGCTAACGCTTTAACCACTAGGCTACCCCATAGACCCTTCATCGTTTTGAGTGATGAGAGTGGCATATAATGAAATCACGGTTTGGTGATTCGCACGTTGATGTTATGTGCCAACAGTGTAAAACCGTCGAAATCGATAGTCAGCGGTTGAAGGCACACATCGAAATGCAAACTGCGGAGTGAGAACGAGCCACGGGAATATCAGCAGATTAGCATGTCCCAGAACTGAGTGAGTGAGTGATGTAAATATCCGGTCTGTAAATACTCGAGTCTGGACCAGACAACCCAGTGATCAACAGCATAAGCAACAATCTACACAATTTGGATACGATGACGTGTCAACAAGTCAGCGAGCCTGACCATCCGATCCCGTTAGTCGCCTCTTACGACAAGCATGGGTTGCTGAAGACCAGTTTTAATCCTGCTCTTCACGGGTCTCCCAGAACTGGAAGAGCGCGAGTGATGACCATCACCTTCGCATGTCTCCATTTGTGCAACTGGCACAGAGGTGTATACCTATATGGCTAAAAGTATATAAACTGTACAGGATCTCGACTTCCCAAGACAATATCACGGTATACGTACGATTATAATATCATATAATCATGGAGATGAGAAGGTATATTCTACGTAGATGAACAGATCATACTCGTTCTTGTTTATATCAAACACTAATACACAGGGAACATCCCTGGATATTTCTGTTCTTATTGATTTTAGAATCGCCATTTGATGTTGGAAAATATGTGGCGATTGTGGAGGCAAATACTAAAATAACAAATCCAACAGGTGATAATTTCTCGCTTCATCAACTTTAAACAACGTTTATATTGAATATGTATGAAATGTATCTTTCTGAATAGGTTAATTATGACTTTTTCCTGTATATGGAGATAGAAGGAGTCGTTGCTTTGATTGTGTTGTTGCATCCGACAGAAAAATAGAGGTGAGTTTGGGAAGGCAGTGCCTGTGTTTCGGTGTTCAGGGCTGACTATTTCAGAACACGTACTTTACTATTTGCTGGTCGCACCGTACAGAGATGTAATGCAACAAACGAGTGACTAGTCGCACTTTGAATACAGAATACTATCCCAAGATAAGCGTGACTAGTCGCACTATAGCGAGGACTATCACAGAAACCGAGTGACTAGTCGCACTGTGCAGAGGACTAAGATAAGGGTGACTAGTCGTACTATAGAGAGGATTATTGCAACAGACGGGTAACTAGTCGCACTGTGCAGAGGACTGTCCCAAGATACGGGTGACTGGTCGCGCTATAGTGAGGACTATCCCAAGATAAGGGTGACTAGTCGCACTGTACAGATGAGTATCTCAACAAACGGGTGACTACAGAGAGGATTATTGCAACTAACGGGTGACTAGTCACGCTTTACAAAGGATTATTGCAACTAACGGGTGACTAGCCGCACTTTACAGAGGAGTATCGCAACTAACGGGTGACTAGTCGCACTATAGAGAGGACTATCCCAACAAACGGGTGACTAGTCGCACTTTACAGAGGAGTATCCCAACAAACGGGTGACAAGTCGCACTATAGAGGAGACTATCCCAACAAACGGGTGACTGGTCGCACTTTACAGAGGAGTATCCCAACAAACGGGTGACTGGTCGCACTTTACAGAGGAGTATCGCAACATCGAAGAGACTCTGCGTCAAAATATAGCTGCATGGCTAGAAAGGTTGTGTGCTTGAACTACACACAGGACAACTAGCGGTTAAATGGCGTTTACAGACATTGACAATACTTCATCCAGCACAGGAGGTAAGCATCCGTACTTGCACCTGTATTGTGGCAGGTGCAGTGTCAGCCCAACCTCCTCTCTGTTCTTTATTGTGTCTTGCACCTCGGTTCCATATTCGGCTAAAAGTGTACGTGTGCTCAATTTAGGGCCCATCAATACAATCATACAACCCTTAACACGCTTATAACGATGTTAATTCACCTCCAACTACCTATGGGGCGGTGGGGTAGCCTAGTGGTTAATGCGTTCGCTCTCCACGCCAGACTCGGGTTCGATTCCCCACATGGGAACAATGTGTGAAGTCCATTTCTGGCGTCCCCCGCCGTGATATTGCTGGAATATTGCTAAAAGCGGCGTAAAACTAAACACACTTACTCACTCCTTAACGCTTGTCGTACAATGCGACTAAAATGACCGAGTGTCCAGGCTCGAACTCTTGGTTGGGTGAGTGGGTACAGTATGATGGTGTTACAGTATGATGGTGTTACAGTATGATGGTGTTACAGTATGATGGTGTTACAATATGAGTCGATGTGTGTTAACACCTGCGTGGTGTCGTTGAGAGTACATGATCATTGATATGAAAATAAGCAGAGACAATCGAAAATACAGGTTCTGTGAATTGAGGTAAAGATATATTTAATGGAATGATCCATGGGCGTACAGGGGCCATCATAGTATAACATCACACTCATTTGAAATCCCATCACAAGACAAATATTTTAGCGTAAAAACGGTTAAAGATCTTTTTGTTAATGTCAACTTTCATTTAATTATTGAATTTTTAAAAGAAATTGATTTCATTCATAAATTTTGATTGATTTGTTTTGCAGATAGATGTATTTTTACAATCGGTATAGTTGAAATTAGCAACTGAGATTGTCAGTGGCTGTATCCCCAAAGGGGGTTGAGGTATTGTAAATTGTCCCCCTGAGAGGATGCGTAAGTGCCGAAAACATTCAGTAAATTTTAACTTGCCAGATTTTTAAATCGCAGCATGTTTGTAATTTTAAGTTATGGCTAAATCTGACAACAATCGCCAACGGCTGAATCGATGACGTAAATCCAGCTAGGCTCCATGCAGGTAGCAAAGGTACTGTAAGTCCCCATGGTCCCGATGATCTAGCTTCCGTTGTTGGCGAACAATAGCCTGTTTTTATATTGTATCGTATTGTATAGTTAAAATGTGTTAAATTAATTACTAGTTTTAAAATTATATCTGTGATAAACTGGTTGTTTTACTGTCCTTCATTGACAGGTTTTTATACCTTCCCTATAATTATTCACTTCTCTCACTCATTTGAAATCTCCTGTGAGATTTTGTTAGCCAAAGGATGAGTCACGGTCTTTGAAGACAATATAGTATAATATCTTTCAGAAAGCGTCCCAGAAAGGGTTCAGCATATATATATGTACACGTTTCGATGTTGGTTCTAAAACCGTTACTTGTACCCTGCAAACATCTCCTCACGCTTGCATATATGCTTCTCTATCCTCATTCAGTTCATCACTTGCTTGATAACAGTGTTAGAACCTATACCGAAAGGTCGCTCTCACTGCAATAACGAAGTTGTTCATCCATATATTGTCCACCTTCCTTACTGCTCCAACTTCTAAATGCCTCTCAAAGACATGTTACATGTATCAGAAAATTCGTGGAGCTGCTGAGTAATTATAAAGTAACAAAAACCAGTTAACGAGAGTTTTCACAATTTGCTTTCATATTAACCTTGCATGAATCATTTCACATTTGTCAAACCGAGCCAATATGCAAGAGAAAACATCAAATTCCTTTCTTTGAAAAGAAAGGATCACTTTGACTTTTCTTGTCAAACCTTGTCGTTTTGATCATGTTGAGTGAAATTATTCATGTGTAACAAATCCAGTTCCCTTAAAGCATTATATTTTCACTCATTTAGTTTTTAAAAAAATCGCCCACTCTTTCGAAGTCAACTTATTGGCAAAACTAACCAAACCAATAATTCCTTTTCAAGTATCCCCCCGGGGGTGGTGGGGTAGCCTAGTGGTTAAAGCGTTGGCTCGTCACGCCGAAGACCCGAGTTCGAATCCCCACACGGGTACAATGTGTGAAGCCCATTTCAGGTGTCCCCCGCCGTGATCTTGCTGAAATATTGCTAAACGCGGCGTAAAACTAAACTCGGTCAGTCAGTCAGTCAAGTATCCCCAAGCGAGTTTCTCATTATAAATTTCCACACATTTTCATTCAAGGCTTGGCATAACATCGATAACGCCAACAACCGCTAACAAGTCTGGTTCTTAAAAAACGATGATTTTGTAAGTGTGATATTATTGTTAATTATCGTTTGCCCGTTTAGCACTGAGTTTGTTCTGTTCTCAAATCGACCAGTTTCTTTTACGTGGCGATGATCAAGTCGAAACGCGAATGTTAACCAAATAAACTGCTATATAAGTAAACAGCCACACAACATCAATGAATATGTATCAACTCACACTGAAAGGCAGCGCAATCACAAGAGGCGATACAAAGAGGACAAATACGTGGCGACAGCTATTACTGACAGGGTATTTGACAGATGTGAGTGCACTCATAGATGCCCAGAATAAACTCGCTGCCTTATGTGCTCCTTTCATGAATCCAGAACAGTTTTTCAAACATATTTATTTCTTATAAATTGTACAGAAACAGGATCGGCAATCAAGTCAAAAGCTTATATTAATGCTTTCCAGACAAAATAACATTTATGCGACTTGCGTTTCATTACATTATTACAAACGTACATGATTTCGTAAATAACATTAAGCATAAAATATACAAGCTAAGAATATAAACATCCATACGGCCAAAAATAATTTCAATTCTGAAAAGGGCTAAATGAAAACTTAAAATTGATTAGATCTTCTTGAAGTGGAATCCCGATCGAACTGGGCAAACAGGTAAAACGAAAGTCACGTCATAAAAGGCGTTGACTCACCCTGATCTCTCTCATCTTGATGCGGGACGATGGCTAGCCTAGTACTTATAATTAAAGCGTTCGCTCTTCATGCCGAAGACCCGGGTTCGATTCCCACTCTGCCATGTTGATGTAGCGAGACAAATGAATCTGACTTTCTGAAACGTCTAGAACAATGTTTCATCAACAACAAAAACGAAAGGGAAGATAGCTCTTATTCCGGTGGAGGTAGATATATTTTATGAGAGCCTGAACCAATTTGCTGTCACTGACCCAGCATCAGTTAGTGGAATGTCTGGTCTGGTCCCGCTTCTTCAGAACTGGTATTGTTAAAGAGAGTTTAGTTTAGTTTTACGCCGCACTTAGCAATATTCCAACTACATGTATATGGCGGCGGTCTGTAAATACTCGAGTCTGGACCAGACAATTCAGTGACCAACAGCATGATCTTCAGTAACCCATGCTTGTCGTAAGAGGCGACTAACGTGATCGGGTTGTCAGGCTCGCTGACTTGGTTGATACATGTCATCGTATCCCAATTGCGTAGATGGATGCTCATGCTGATGATCACTGGATTGTCTGGTCCAGACTCGACTATTTACAGACCGCCGCCATATAGCAGGAATACTGTTGAGTGTGGCGTTAAACAACCAGCCAACCAACCTACAAAGTGTAACTAAGTAACGCTTTTGAACCTGAGTAAAGTAATTGTGATTTTATCCCACGCCATGTGCGGTGTTAAACAACCAACCAACCTACAAAGTGTAACTAAGTAACGCTTTTGAAGCTGAATAAAATAATTGTGATTTTATCCCACGCCATGTGCGGCGTTAAACAACCCACCATCCAGCCAACCAATCACCAGTGTCTGAATTGCTGTGAACACTATTAAGGCATTATCCCCAGGTTCAACAGAGATGTCAGGGCTTGACTACAGTGAACGTCTCCCCATCCTTTCACGGAAACAACCGATGCACATACGACTTGACATCGTGAAGGACACCTGCCATGACGACCTCCCTGTGAGACGTCGTGAAGGGGTGATGAGCGACGAAGGCTACCACGGCTCAACGAACAACTCACCCCGTGATGGCAAATATGACACGTTTGCCACTCGCAGCTCTGGCCTTGACCCCATCACACTGACATGGCGGAATATAACGGTCAGTGTCAAGGACGAGGAGAAGGCGTGTTGCCGTGGTGATGACGTTGCGAAGTCGAAGCAAATCTTGAAGAATGGTGAGACAAAATATTTGTATGAAATTCGTTTAAATGCTATGTTATCATAGCTTGAAATATAAAGTTGTTACTTTGTTCTTGAAAGATTGTCCTCCTATTTCTGATTAAACTTCTACGTGAATCTGCATACATAGTTTACATGTATGAAATATTTAACCAATTAAGAACAGGGACTTCTGAAGGACAAATCGTGAAATGAACATAGAGACCCGTGAAAATCCGGATTAGAACTGGTCTTCAGCAACCCATGATTGTCGTAAAATGCTACTAAAGGGAGCCGGTGACAAGGCTCGCTGACTTGGTTGACAAATGTCATCGTATCCATTTGTGTAGATCGATGCTCATGATGTTGATCACTGGATTGCCTGATGCATACTCGATTATTTATAGAACGCCGCCATATAGCTGGAATATTACTGAGTGCGGCGTTAAACAACCAGCCAACCAATCTACAAATTGTAACTAAGTAACGCTATGCCCTTTGAAGCTGAATAAAATAATTGTGATTTTATCACACACTATGCCGCTGTCGGTAATAGTTTGTTTGTTTATTGTTTAACGCCGCACTCAGCAATATTCCAGTCGGTATAATCGCGTCGGTCTGTCACATAATCGAGTCTGCGTCAACCAAGTCAGCCAGATCAAGCCAGTGGGTTACTGAAGGCCATATTCAATGGGTATTCTGGGATACAATGACATGCCGTAGTCAACCGACACAGTTTCACCTGTATACTGGTGTTGCTATTTGAATCAGACAACTTTTCTCATCTTGTCTCTGCTGTAATGATTAACGCGTTTAACATTGTCTGAGCAGTGACTGGCCTTGTGAAGCCCGGGATGGTGACAGCCGTTATGGGAGTCAGGTAAGTGGACAGGTTTGACGAGTCTGTTGCCAGTGGTGATGAGTATTTTGATATGTGCAATCGATGTGTTGACGAGTGGAATTGTTTGTTGACTATTGTCATGGGTATGTTGACACGTGTGATGAGAATGTTGACAGCTTTAACACAATTTGTTGACAGGTGTGATGGTGATGTTGACAGCTTTAACACAATTTGTTGACCGGTGGGTAAGGCATGTTGACAAGTGTGATGATGATGTTGACAGCTTTAACACAATTTGTTGACATGTGTGATGGTGATGTTGACAGCTTTAACACAATATGTTTACAGGTGAGTAGGGCACGTTTGACAAATGTGCTTAGAATGTTGACAGCTTTAACACAATATGTGGACAGGTGTGATGGAGATGTTGACAGGTGTGATGAGAATGTTGACAGCTTTAACACAATATGTTGACAGGTGTAATGAGTATGTTGACATACGTGATCAGAATGTTGACAATTGTGACACAATCTGTTGACAGGTGGGGAGGGTATGTTGACAGGTTTTATGATAATGTTGACAGCTTTAACCCAATTTGTTGACAGGTGTGATGGTGATGTTGACAGCTTTAACACAATATGTGATGAGTATGCTCATACATTTGATTGGTATGTTGATAGATGTGAAGAGAGTTTTGAGAGGTGGTGGTTAATATGATGGCTGCGTGTTGACAGGTGTGATGTGTATATGTACACGCGAGATGGGTATGATGGCAGTAAAATGACTATTTGGCAGGTGTGATGAGCATGCGCGCAAATGAAATGGCTATTCTGACAAATAAAATAGCTTTGTTTACTGTTCTGATGGGTTTGTTGACAAGTGAAATCTGTATATTAAAAGATATTTCAAGGATTGTTTGATTCCGATATGCTGATGATATGAAAGGAATCAAGTATGTTGACAGCGGTACATGCCGCTGATATGCTGACACAAGAACGGAATCTCTCGAACCCCTTGCCTCCACATTCATGTCCACTATAAGTCTCCGCCTTTTAGGGGTAGGGGTGGGGTAGCACAGTGGTTAAAGTGCATGATCGTAATGCCGAAGACCCGGGTTCCATTCTTCACATGGGTACAATGATTGAAACCCATTTCTGCTGTACCCCGCAGTGGTATTGCTGGAATATTGCTAAAAGGCGCGTTAAAATAAACTCACTCACTGTCTCTCCTCCTTGCAGCGGTACCGGAAAGTCCACCCTGATGAACGTACTGGCCCACAGAAATACACAACAATACGACGTCACTGGCGACATTAGCGTCAACGGGGTCAACATCAGCGACGGCATCAGGAACATTTCCGCCTACTGTCAACAAGACGAAATGTTCATAGGAACACTTACAGTCAAAGAACATCTTGAGTTTAGGGTAGGTTCTGTCTGGCTTTATTTTCGAATGGAATTGATTTGGATTACATAAAAAAGTATTATCATTCTGAACTTGAAAGCGAGAAAAAATGTTTTCGTATTAATGAGAGCGTGGTTTCACTGCTTTCAAACAGTTTCCGTGGTAGCGACGAGTCGAGGAAAAGTTCACCATTTTGGTGATTATCCTCAAGCGCATGTATGGCGAAACCATGAAAGATCACAATAGGGCGAGTGTGGGATTCGAACCCAGGAGTTTCTTTCACACCAAAATAATTTGTACAGCATTTGTACAATTTGTGTCCCCTATTATTTGTGAAAGACATGCATGAAAGGGCGAAAATACCCTACACGAAATATCTGCTGAAGGAAGGCAAAGTCAGTTCAATATTGGCTATAGCCTTACTATATCATGAGCATGTCTTCACGACAATTTTAAGCTATGTGCATGACTTTCCATTTCTAATAAAAAATATATTTTATTTGTTGCGCTAAATTATACAAGTAAACATGACAAAAAGCATGTCCATATTTATAAAGAATCTCATCTAAAAGCAAAGTCCCATTTTCATAAATTATAAAATATTAATAGTATGCATTAATAAATCACATGAAATAGACCCGACACCAGGTGTTGTTGAATGGAACACAGAAGTGTTTCTGTTTTTTGGCTCAGATTCTCAGGAAAGATACGCAGACTACTCGAAACTATCACACTGTCATCGACCTACATGACAAAATCCAAGGACATGAAGATTATCTCACTTATATACACTCTCTGAGAACTGGAAGATATTTGATTAATTTTGAACGAAATCATATTTGCCTAAACCACAGGAGAAAAGAGTCGACTAAAAAAACGGTCTGCCATATCCAATTCTTTACTGAAAGAAGTATTCTGAAATCTTGATGTCTCACACAATGCGTTATTTGAAAAGATGTAAAAAATATTAACATAATCTCATTTTCTGTTCAGCAAGAATTTTACTTTTATGCACTTAAATCTGTTAAAAAGTTTACGCTTGGCATTTCGAACGTGTTTTTAGGTCCCAGTTATCTCCGTAAACCGAAGCCAAAGAAAGCAAGCGTCGTGTTTTATGTAAACGTTATGTCTTCGTTGCATGTGCCAGACAGTAATAACGATCTGGAAAGATCAGAAATTGGTTTAACGATTGGTTTTCCAGAGCTGAGAGTGTAGTGTGTACTTATAAAGTTGATGAAAAACATATATAATTTTACTGTTTGATCGTCGCTTTGATATTTCTCTGAACAATTTCACGAAGCAAACCTGCATTGAAATATGTCACAAGTAAGCCAATTAGGAACTCGGCGGGTGGCAGCCGTTATGAGAAGGTATCGTTGGTATGAGTTTCTTCTCAATGGTCTTTCACAGGCCCTTCTGCGCATGGACAAGGCGGTGTCTGAAAAAGCCCGAAAGCTGAGAGTTGACGAAGTGTTGAACGAGGTGAGTCGCTAGAAACTGAGCTAATGCGATGAGAGTCCTGATTCAGAGAAACGTTTTTGCTAAACCTTTGTGGAGACACATAGGTTCCGAGACCCCACTTCCGGTAGTCTCTTTCTGAATTGCTTGCTATTTATAGGCTTCTGTCCCCGTGTGATGCGGGGCTGCGACATTGAAGACATCACATCCCGACAACATCTAACACCACCTTTTCCCAAAATGTTGAAAATAGGGATACATGGGCGGATCCAGGAATTTTGAAAGAGGGGGGGGGGGGTGGGTTCGAACCCCCTGAATCCCCCCTCTGGATCCGCCAATGTGATCATAGCAGTTTTTAATTTTAATGGTAGCAGAAATGAGCTTTACACATTCTACCCATGCGAGTAATCGAACCCGGTTCGTCAGCATGACGGACGAAATCTTTTATTATTAGGCTACCCCACTGCCGATTAAAACGTCTTACATAGTTAACACGGCATCGAACTATTGATATATGGAAACTTGGACAATTTCTATAAACTGTTGGTTAGATCATAAGTTGTAATGCAATTGTTATCAGGCTGGTTACTCCTACTATGAGCATTACATCACCCCGTCTGGTTGGAGCGAGTGAGTTTAGTTTTACACCGCTTTGAGCAAAATTCCGGCAACATCACGACGAGGGACACCAGGATGGGCTTCACACATTGTGCCCATGTGGGGAGTCGAACCCGGGTCTTCGGCGTGACGAACCTGCGCTTTAACCACTGGGCTACCCCACAGATGTGGAAAGGTTACATGTATTTTCAGTGCTGATTCACTATGTTTCAGACGGGACTAACGGAGTGTGCTTACACGGAGATCGGGACACCGGGGAAGAAAAAGGGGATTTCGGGGGGACAGATGCGAAGGCTGTCCTTTGCCTCAGAGGTACATGTAGATGCATCTTAATTATCTATGATTCTGATTAAACTTAAATTCAGAGCTAACGAATTATATACTTGAGCACTGGATTTCATCGAGAATTATTAAAACATTATTTGGCTGAAAAAGGTCGCTGAAACACTGCAAACGTGGTTCCAAAACTATTCATATCCAGGGAATAACCGGTTCTTGTTTGCTCATTTGTAGCATCATCAAGCAAGGATGTAGAGTCTTGTGTCCGACGGTTCAGTAGAACCTGAGTTCTAGAACAGTGGCCATTTGATACGTTTGCCAAACGATTGGGGGGTGGGCTCTAAATTCACAGAAAATGCACTTTCCATGATGTAATGCATTCTCGTGTAATTGTAACTAGCATAATCCTGCTATATGCAATATGCTCTGCTCAAAAGAAGTTATTGATAAAGGGCCATCCGGTTCTGTCATAAGCCTGTACTGTCGTGGTAAGACAATGTAGCTATAGTAATAAGTAATAAGAAAGATGCGGTTGATCCTTAACTTCGTTGGAGTAGCATATGGTTGGTAAATCGCTGAGTATGCCGTCGTGTTTGGATTAACTGGAACAAACTTCTGTTCTTGCCTCAGATTTTGACAAACCCCCCTCTGATGTTTTGTGATGAACCAACCTCCGGCCTGGATTGCTTCATGGCGCAGAGCATCGTGAAGACCTTGCAGAACATGGCACTGCGTGGCAGAACAATCATGTGTACCATCCATCAGCCGTCATCGGAGGTCTTCCAGCTGTTTGATCAGTGCGTGAAGCTGTCTGTCGAAGCCCCACGTCTTCCTGTCTTTTCAAGTCATAAGTCTCCCTGTCTTTCCAAGCCCCACGTCTTCCTGACTCTCCAAGCCCTACGTCTTCTTGTCTCTCCAAGCCTAAAGTCTTCCTGTCCCTCCAAAACTCATGTCTCCCTGTCCCTCCAAGCCCCATGTCTTCCTGTCTGTCCAAGCCCCAAGTCTTTCTGTCTCTCCAAGAACCAAATCTCCCTGTCTCTCCAAGCCCCATGTCTTCTTGTCTCTCCAAGCCCCATGTCTTCTTGTCTCTCCAAGCCCCATGTCTTCCCGTCTCTCCAAGCCCCAAGTCTCCCTGTCTCTCCAAGCCCCATGTCTTCCTATCTGTCCAAGAACCAAGTCTTCCCGTCTCTCCACGCCCCATGTTTTCCGGTTCTCTCAAAGCCCCAAGTCTTCCTGTCTCTCCAAGCCCTTAGTATTCCTGTCTCTCCAAGAACCAAGTCTTCCTGTCTCTCCAAGCCCTAAGTCTTCCTGTCTCTCCAAGAACCAAGTCTTCCTGTCTCTCCAAGCCCCAAGTTTTTCTTTCTCTCCAAGCCCCATGTCTTCCTGTCTCTCCAAGAACCAAGTCTTCCTGTCTCTCCAAGCCCTTAGTATTCCTGTCTCTTCAAGAACCAAGTCTTCCTGTCTCTCCAAGCCCCAAGTCTTCCTATCTCTCCAAGCCCCAATTCCAGTCTTCCAAGTCTTCCTGTCTCTCCAAGCCCTAAGTATTCCTGTCTCTCCAAGCCCTTAGTATTCCTGTCTCTCCAAGAATCAAGTCTTCCTGCCTGTCCAAGCCCTAAGTCTTCCTATCTTTCCCAACCCCAAGTCTCTCCTAACCCTATCTTAATGCGATATTGCATCTCTTAATGTTGATCCTCGTCATATGGCTATAGGTCCAATCAGAATGACATAGTTGATTATCCCTATAAAGAGCTGTTAAATATATACCAGTACCTCGTTCCACTTGTTCCAGTTTGCTGCTGTTGTCAGAAGGCCATATTGCTTACCTTGGACCAGCCTGGCAGGCAGAGAAATTCTTTCTCAGGTACATAGTTCTTTCACCATGGATACCTTTACTTTGATTTACTTTCACGATGCACAAATAAACCGCTAAAGTTCAAACACAAATGTGAATACACTTACGAGCCCCATTGTATTATAAATTAATTAATGTTTTACCTAAATTATTTTTTTTATCACGATGGACTGAAAATTGCGTATTTTGAAATGTGAGTTGGTTCTTTTCACTTGTCTGAGGAAATGTAGGAAGAACACGTTCAGTTCCTGATCTAAACTTGAGACATTCCCTCAGTCAGTCATATTATTCCTTATACGTCATTAGGATATCATAACAAAACGACACATGTGTCCTGTCACGTTTCTAATCACGTTTTACCCGTGTAGGTCCGGGTTAATATATCCATCTTCAGTAACCCATGTTTGTCGTAAGTGGCGACTAACGGGATCGGTGGTCAGGCTCGCTGACTTGGTTGACACATGTCATCGGTTCCCAATTGTGCAGATCGATACTCATGCTGTTAATCACTGGATTGTCTTGTTCAGACTCGTTTATTTACAGACCGACGCCATATAGCTGGAATATAGCTGAGTGCGGCGTAAAACTAAACTCACCAGAAACGACGGGGACACCAGAAATGGGCTTCACACTTTGCGCACATTGCAACGTGTTCTGAGCATGAGCCGAACACCTGATCACGGCAACAGATTAGCTGCAATAATTTCGAAAGCGTTCCTTTGCGTTGATAGCGCCGGTCATGTTGACGCAGGGTACTGTGAAACAATCTATTACTCTCTCCGTGACTGACGTAGAGGTTACTGAGGTAAACCATCACGATATTGCCCGATCGCCCACCGTAGCCTATATACTGACAACATCTTTCAATTCGCGTTACTGTCTTAATCAGACTCTGATATTGTTACTCGTTTTCAGGACTTATTTTTCTCCGCGATTCAGTTGCTCGTTTTAGGGCTTTTAGTACATAGCGGATGACGTGTAACTGCAAATAAAAGACTATCAACATGTAACGATCAAACACCCACCTATCTCATTATGTGTTGAAGCCAAGGATACCAGTGTCCTGCGAACCACAACCTGGCTGACTTCTACATCAACACCTTGGCCATCGACCCAGGGAGAGAAGAGTACTGTCGACAGAAAGCAGTGGTAAGTCTCAAATCGTGTCTGCTTTACACAGTAAATAGTCTCGGCAGGTTCCGTGTAAACTGAGGTGACATTCCAAGCAATGCTGATTGGTTGGAACAGTGAGTACTGTTTTTCGCCGCTTATAGCAATATTCCAGGAGTATCACGGCGGGGGACACCAGACATGGGCTTCACACATTGTATCCATGTGGGGAATCGAACCCGGGTCTTCGGCGTGACGAGCGAACGCTTTAACCATTAGGCTACCCCACCGCCCTTGGTTGGAACAGAAGGCGTGGGGGTGATTGTGTTTGGATCGTTAAAAACTGTTTTTGAGGTTTGTTCTTTAACACTCAGGAACGCTCCGTTAGTCATCGTTACGGGATTGCGGGGATCCATGGTTGTGTTTTCACTCACCGTTTTCATGGACCAGGTGTTTTTCGTCTTCACCGTCTCGGGGAGATGTGGCGTTACACAAACATTCACACATTCGTCCATGACTAAGGTTACCATTAATGGTAATACTATGAATAAGACGTCATGTAAAAAGCTCCATATTCTCATCACCAAAATGACCCGTGAAGGTGCGGGTTAGAATGAACCTTCAGTAACCCATGCTTGTCGTAAGAGGCGACTAACGGGATCAGGTGGTCAGGCTCGCTGGCTTGGTTGTCATCGGTTCCCATTTGCGCAGATCGATGCTCATGATGTTGATCACTGGATTGTCTGGTCCAGACTCGATTATTTACAGACCGCCGCCATATAGCTGGAATATAGCTGAGTGCAGCGTAAAACTAAACTCACTCACTCACTCATCACCAAAATGCATTTTTGATGCTACTACTGGACGACATGCACGTTCAATCGGCGTTCACCATCATGATCAATTGGTGGAGCTAAGCTGTCGGTACTGTTTTTCTGTAATTTCCACCTGTCACCAGTCATGAATTTTCATTCCGACGAGAAATAATACAATGTTTTCGTATGTTAAGTTTCCCCACCGCTGTGGAAATCTTTGCCCTGACGTGTTGAAAATGTAGCCTTAGTCTTGAACTCAGGTCGGCTTGATCGTTCTTCATCTATGTTATATACAGTTGTTGTGATGTGTGGTCTTGTGTATAGAGCTCAGGTCACACATGTGGTTAAGTTAAACAACGTTTGGCGCCCAGAGTCTTGGATGGGTGACCGTTGAAACATGACTACTGAGAGTAAATTCTGTCCACAGGCCCTCGTGTTTTTGCGAGGATTAGAGATTTTATAAAATATATACCAAATTTTGAGATGCTCGAAATGCTTCACAGTACAATACGTTATGACCTTGTCATAATGTATTATACTGTTAAGTACATTTCGAGTCGTATTCAGCATTTCGAGTCGGGGGTCATCTCAAAAACAATATTGTTTTATTCAAAGACACGAGAGCCTGTGCTTCTGTCCTGCCCATAACGAAGCACATGTGACACATGTGGTTTCATCTTAGGCAAATGAGTTTGTTCAAAATTGCCTCTGTTCACCAGCAGAAAATGGGTAATGGGTGGTATAAGTCAAATGACCATTAACCTTCTAGCGCCTCGCAGGCATCTTGGATTATCTGGGGTAATAATGTCCTTCATGTAAGTTAAAGCAAGTTCACCGCTGCATAGGAGGCCTTATCATTACTGTTATTGACTCGATCTACATTATAACTTAATTTAAAACTTACCAAACCATTTTAAAAATCCCTTGTTTGGGTTACATAGTTAGTGAAAAGAAATTTGTTATATTTAATTATTTTATAGACTTTTTTTCGCCTGCTGCTGTCTAGTTGAGGCCGGAGAAGAGAAATACATAAAAAGAACGAAGGAAAAATGCACTGACAATACAGCGCTGCGGAGATGGTGCACAGAACGTGTTCTGATAAGATTAGATTTGATTGTTTGGGCATGCTAATAAGAAACTCGACGTCCACTCAAGCACAGGGGTTTGTAACGCTAAAAACTGCCTTCAAGGTATATACTGTCACTGACGGGGTCTTAGTACTATAAAAAAGGATCCTTTTATATAGTACTAAGACCCCATCAATGACAGTATATACTTTGATGGCAGTTTTTAGCGTTACAAGCCCCTGTGCAGTTTATAGTATATTGTTTTTTCCAGAGGCGCGTTTTTCATGTAATAACTATTACACATAACACTGATAAAAAAACTATGGAAATGACTTTGTCTTACCACCAGGAGTCCCTGGTACAATAGCTAAGGTGAGGAAAAGACATTTTGAACTTTAACATTACAAACACGGACGTTTCATTTTTTCAGGCACTGTGTGACGCCTTCAGCAAGAGCGAGGTTAATCAGACTTTACTCAGCAATCTGCAAGAGGTGACAGATCAAAGACATGCAGACATCAATTCGTCGTTGGTAAGAAGTGTTCCACATAACATATGGTCACAGATCTTTTTGCAAAGGAAGTGGTTAGAAGAGCCCAAGGCATATGGCCCCTGGAGCTAAAACTGCATCAAAACTGTATTTCGCACCAAGAACAGCCATTTTAGGAAAACATACCCATGATAAAGCACTGCTGAGTTATTTACAGTTTCAAATTTTCAAGCAGTAATGTATTGAATTAACCCGTGAACTCCCGGTTAGAGCTGGTCTTCAGGCGACTAGCGGGATTGGGTGGTCAAACTGGCTGACACATCTCAATTGCGTAGATCGATGCTCATGCTGTTGATCACTGGCTTGTCTTGTCTAGACACGATTATCCACCACCATATAGCTGGAATATTGCTGAGTGCGGGGATAAACCACAAACAAACAAGCGTATGGGATTAAATTTGCAGATATCAAAGTCGGGTTGTGAACATAGCAATGATGCTGCTGGAAAATCACCAAGGAGAGGTGGGTTGGCCTGGAGTGAGTGAGTGAGTTAGGGAGTGAGAGAGTGAGTATGGTTTTACGCCACTTTAAGCAATATTCCAGCAATATCACGACGGAGAAAACCGGATATTGGCTTCACACATTGTACCCATGTGGGGAATCGAACCCGGGTCTTCAACGTGATGAGCAGACGCTTTAACCACTAGGCTACCTCTCCACCTCGTGTAGCCTGGAGGTTAACGGGTCTTTTGGTCACCACGAAAGAACATGTGGACCCCATTCCTAGTGACCCAGAAAATTGCAAGAGTAACATAACAAAATGCTATTTTTCTTAAAGTACATAGACTCTTAAGCGTGTCATAGCGTCAAGATACAATATGTATATATTAGACAGGAGGAGCTAGAACTCATGGTTTGGGGCCAACAGCTACATAGTAAACATGGCATCGAACGTAAAATTGATACATGATAACTTGGACATTTGCGATAAACTGTTAGATCAACCAATTGTAATGCAGTTGTAATCGGGCTGGTAACTCCTACGCGACGTAGGGGCGTGGGGGTAGCCTAATGGTGTAAGCGTCTGCTCGTCACGCCGAAGACCCAGGTTCGATTCCCCACATGGGTACAATATGTTAAGCCGATTTCTAGTGTCCCCCGCCGTGATGTTGCTGGAATATTGCTAAAAGGGAGTAAAACCAAACTCACTCACTACTTGACGAGATTGGGCTTGATGTTTTTATATTGCCAGATCAACCATCACGTGTACTGTACTAATATAACGTGCACCATATTTGGCTATGGTGTCCATCTTAAACGCTATTAACAACTTTAATCTTACTTTTTGTATATTTCAGTTTCAACGCGCCTTTAACAATGGAAATGACAGGTAAGAGAATGAGACCATATTATCAGTACTTGATCTCCTTTCAATTCACGGGCTTCTTCGTGTTCTCCAGTTTATTACAATCCGGCAGTGTCCATTGACGTACCTGGACAACTGTTTTGAGTCATCTTGAGCACTCTCGGGTCCAATGTCGCATATCTTGATTCATCCAACAAGTAAATACATCGAACACAATTAGAGAGACCCTTTTTAGGAGGATCGATTTCATTTCAATAACGGATTTTGTCAACCTCAGCAATATTCCAGCTATCTGGTCTGTAAATAATCGCGTCTGGAATGACATGTGTCAACCACGTCAGCGAGCCTGCGGTCATGAGTTGCTGAAGGCCAATTCTAACCCGGATCTTCACGTGCTTCTTACAGTGCACGTGGTAATTACATTGGCATCAAACTGTGCAGGTTACACATTCTCCATTGTTTGTGACAGCACATAGATGAACTGCCAGTAATTCCTTGACATACATATAATTGGTTCATCAAACAATTTTGTGTGCGTTCATATTTCCATGAATTCAAGCCATGAACTCAAATCGACTTCTGATTCACGATCATCAGAACTTGTGTTTTGCGGGGGGTCGGTTGCGTAGCCTTGTGGTTAACGCGTTCGCTCCTTCCACCGAGCCCAAGGATCGATTCCCCACATGGTCGCAATGTATGAAGCCCATTTCTGGTGTCTCCCGCCTTGATATTATGTCTAAATATTGCTGAAAGCGGAGTAAAACCATACTCACTCACTCTTGGTTTTTGCAGGTATCGCTCCCCCTGGTACAAACAACTTCAGCTTCTGCTGTGGAGAGGTGGACTCGGGATGAAAAGGGATGCGGCGGTGTTTGTGGCTCAAGGACTTCAGACAGTCGTGAGTAGGCTTCCATACGTAGTTGTCCAGATTGGAATGTGTTGGCCGAGCTGTAACCAGAACCAGACGGAGGTATTACATCTTTCCGGAACTGAAACACATTGGCTGCTAGTTCTACAATCGATACAGTAAGAGACTCAATTTCCATCACTTACGCGAACACCGAACACCTCATCACTGATTTTCAGTGATCCGTTCTTATAATATTTCACGGCTTTTTCCCTTTTACACCAAAACGGAATTTGTCTCAGAAGATAATCTCAAGACTGGGCATTTTTTGCCCTGACGTTCTATATTACATTAGTTCTTTCGAGACGGATATTATTTTTTTAGGGAATTTCATAGACGCGCAGATGCCCCCCTAGTGCAGTCTCCAATATGAGAACAAACACCGTCTATCAATATTTTATGTTTGTTGTTTAGCGTCACACTAAGTAGTATATATGACGAAGATCTCCACATACTGGAGTATGAACCAGACAGTCCAGTGACTTGGTCTCAGTCTCTATGTGTCATAAGATCTCCACAGCACACAGCATTGTGGTTCATACAGCGAGGAACCGAACAGTGCACCATGTTCAATTCAATAGTATGCGCATCTGAGACGCTGGAATCAAACACTTGTGCTTGCACTACGTGAAGCGGTTCCCATACAACCTGATGACGTCATTTGTTTATAAATGTGGCACCAATTACGTCATTTCCAAGGGACATAAGCCATGGTGTTTTTACTATTGAAATGGAACACTTGGTAAATGTGTAAAATAAAAATCGTTTTCCTACAAAAAATATATACTTAATTTTATAATTTTACTGTTTTTGTCTTTAAAAGTACCAAGTAAATAATTTTCATATTAAAAAAGAGCAAGAAAAATAGGTTCATTTTCGTGTACACTTGCCCTTTAACCAATTTTAAGCCGGTAGTTTAAAAAATCTTATGCTTCCCAGACGCTGTACTTTAACCCTTCGATGGATTAAAGACATTGTCTAGATATACTTATAATTGCTGACTGGTGTTCATATTTCTATTTCCTCTTAGTGGCATTCACGTCGCATATCATGTAAACATTCAGTTTCATCATCGCAAAGTGTGTTTTTTTGTTGACATTCTTTTATTTTAAATATTTTAAAAATTATTTTCATGAAACAAAAAGTCTTCTATCATAACGGTCGTTACATAATGACATATACAAGTACATGTACATAATCAGATATCCAACCTTCCAGGATGTAACACAGTTAGTCCTCCGAAATACTAAGGTGTATAACGTGTTGTATGTAGTGCCACATCCGACATATCATGTTTCATATAGCGCAACATGCAGCATACAGTGTTATATAGAGCGTCATATCAGACACAGCATATTGTGTATGGGGTCACAGCCGACATGTTGTATACAGCGCAACATCCGAAATATGTCATATGGTGTCATATCCAACATATCATATTGTATATAGCATATCGCAAAGTTAAAGTTGATCGATTGTATCGATGTAGCAATTAACATTCATTGTAAGTTAGTTCTTCAAACACGTTCAAACGGAAACGCTTTAGTAATATGCTGTAACAATTTGAGGGAACATGAAGCATTGATATTGTATATCATTAATGAGTTTAACAGTGTAGCAAGGATATCTGACTTAGATTTGCGTTGATGGTTGAACGCCAGATGACATAAGAGTTATTTAGATGATTGGCTACTGTGCCCTTACGTCATTTACCATGAAAAAGTCAGATTCATCAGCATCGCGTAAGGACATCAATCGAAAGTCCCCAGCAAAACACACGCACAACGGTGTTCTTGTCAGCCTCGGCAAGCCTTTGCAAACACTCCATTCATAAGACAATTCCGGTTTGGACATGGCATTGTAATGAAGTCTGGCAAGTCTGGAGTGAGCGCTGGCCATGGTAAGGCTGTCATACTATTTTGGCGGAGGTGCTCAGTGACAATTCCAGCCCTGGTTGCTCCTGTTGTCGTCCTGAAACACCAAACGACGTCCATACTGCAAGTGACACCATGCTTGTCCCACGAATGTTGACATAGCAGTACTGCAAAGTGACAAATCCATGAATAACGACGCCACACATCTGTCAAGGACGTCCAAAGTAAACGTTCCATTCAGTAAACCCATGTGGGGAATCGAAACCGGGCCCTCGGCGTGAGGAGCCGACGCTTTAACCACTGGGCTACCCCACCGCCCCCAGTTTAGGTTCAGGGACCATATTCACATGAGCATCATGACAAACGCCAGAACGGAATTGACGGGATTGCCCGGAGAACAAAACCCGATGTAAATGGAAAGATCATTTTCTAAATCCATATACAATCACACAACTTAGTTCCTAAATGGTATAACTTAAAATGGAATATCCCCTACTGTTTTTGAATGTTACATGTAATACATATATTACCTTTTTGTTATTTATTATTTACAAAAACAGTAATACTTTGTTAATCACTGTGTCAGTGATTAATTGAGAGGTTACAGTCATACATCTACGACAACACAGATCCTTTACTGTTGATCAGCAAGACAATGCCTTGTTGACTCCATTGGAAAAGAACGTGTTCCATTGGTACTACACAGAGACATGCACTTATAGATCGAGATGGGTAGTCTGACGTCATAGGTAATTTCAAATGACAATTAGTGGTTGTTCTGGGTTTTTTTCGCTCATGAAAAAATGCCATGAGTGTTTGCTGTAACCTTTTGTGACCTTTATATTAAACCATGTTAAAACTTTGTTTGTAGGCCAACGCAGCAAAGGTTTTCAAGCCTAACAAAGTCAAAAGCCTTTTTTAAAAACAGAAACGGTCGAACCTGTCTTACCGTATGATCCCCTATGTTGATGGGCGTCGAGATTCTAATCATAGTTGAAGACCCGGAGACTCATTCTTGTCAGTTTAATCCTCGTCCTATGTAGATCTACACAAGCTGACTTCACCATTTGCGTCTGGTTTATATAATTTACGTACAAATATAGTTCCTGAACTACTGTCAGCTGTTCACCAGATGTGTTAGGTTACGCCGTGTATATACAGCGCACTTTAAGCTTCCTGAATGAAATTTGTAGCATTATCCATTGGATCATCATCCTTATCATCATCCTCATTATCATCTTTATCATCCTCTTCTTCTTCTATTCCTCCTCCTTTTTCTTCATCTTCCTCCTCGTTCTTCTTCAACTCCCTCCTCCTCCCTTCTCCTTTTTCTTCATCTTCCTCCTCCTCCTTCCCTCCTGCATCTTCCTCCTCCTTCCCTCCTCGATCTTCCTCCTCCTCCTTCCCTCCTCCATCTTCCTCCTCCTCCTTCCCTCCTCCATCTTCCTCCTCCTTCTTCCCCCCTTCATCTTCTCCTCCTTCCCTCCTCCTTCCTCCTCCTTCATCTTCCTCCTCCTTTTTCCCTCCTCCATCTTCCCTCCTCCATGTTCCTTCTCCATCTTCCTCCTCCTTCTTCCTCCTCCATCTTCCTTCATCCCTCCTCCTTCTCCCCTCTCCATCTTCCTCCTCCTTCCCTCCTTCATCTTCCTCCTCCTTCTTTCCTCCTCCTTCTTCCCTCCTTCTTTCTTCTCCTCCTTCTTCCCTCCTTCATCTTCCTCCTCCATCTTCCCTCCTTCATCCCTCCTTCATCTTCCTCTCCTCCTTCCTCTTCCTCCTTCCCGCCTTCATCTTCCTCCTCCTTCCATCCTCCATCTTCCTCCTCCTTCTTCCCTCCTTCATCTTCCTACTCCTTCTTCCCTCCTTCATCTTCCTTCTTCCCTCCTTCATCTTCCTCCCCTTCTTCCCTCCTTCCTTCATCTTCCTCCTCCTTCTTCCCTCCTTCATCTTCCTCCTCCTTCTTCCCTCCTTCATCTTCCTTCTTCCCTCCTTCATCCCTCCTTCAACCCTCCTTCATCTTCCTCTCCTCCTTCATCTTCCTCCTTCCCGCCTTCATCTTCCTCCTTCCCGCCTTCATCTTCCTCCTCCTTCTATCCTTCATCTTCCTCCTCTTTCTTCCCTCCTTCATCTTCCTCCTCCTTCCCTCCTTCATCTTCCTCCTTCTTCCTCCTTCTTCCCTTATTCTTCTTCCTCCCCCTCCTTTTTCAACGATGATGGTAACCTTATTCACGAACGAATACGTGAATGTTGTTTAACCACCATTCCCCCAGGTTATGCTTTGCTTTGAAGTGGCCGAAAGAAAGAGGACGGATTTGGGTCATTTGGGTCACGGTGACAAGAGGTGACCGATAGCATAGAGCCTGAACCTTTCTCTGCTGGCGCGTGATAACGAAAAATCCTTGCATTAAGAACAACAATGACAACGCCATTTTAAATGCTTCTTGGTTCGTTGCAGTTGGCGGCGCTTTTCCTTGGGCTTGTGTACCTAAAACAGAACTACGACCAGAGTGGCGTCATGAATATCGACGCTGCCATCTTTCTCCTCATAACCAACCTGTCCTTCACCTGCATGTTCTCCGTTGTCAACGTGAGTACTCGAACACACACCTTTATATTTATATCATAAACCCTACGTATCAACACTCACCCTCACACCTTAAGATACAACACACCCACCTACACACACATTCACACCTAACAACGTACATCAACACCCACCCACACACATCAACACCCACCTACACACACGTCAACCCCCCCCCCACACACATCGACACCCACCCCCACACGTCAACCCCACACGTCAACCCCACACTCAAACGTCGACACACAACCACACACATCAACACACACACATCAACATATATCCCTACACATCTACACACAGCTACATACAACTACATGTACACAGGTTAACACACAGCTACACATCAACATGCAAAACACACACACACATACATATTCAACACATTCCTTAATCATCAGACACATGCATGAAGACACAAATGCATTTTTTTCCAGAAGCTTTCTTTGTCGTCAAGAAGAATACACACTCAAACACACATAGACACAGGCGGACACACATAGATACATTGATGTATACATGCATACGTACATGTGCATTGATTGACCAAGCCTCGCATGGAAGTGAAATGTTTGTTATGGACATTTCACAGATACACACAACTCCTGTGTTTGAAAATTAGATAAATGTAAGACCGTAATGATAGTCTCTAAATTTCATTTGAAACCGAACGCGTAGCGTTCCCAGTGAAGCGGTCTTAAACACAGACGCATTTTCAATCCAAAATGAAAGTGTCTAATGTTATCGATTGTCCAATAAAATTCGAGTATTTCACATAGTCATGGTACAATGTGTCATGAAGATATATAAAACTAAAATTAGAGTCAATGCAAATTATTTCTCTGTGACAGGTTCACAAGCTAGTATGTATATATTACGGAATTCCTTCCATCAGAGACCCTGAACTCTCGTAGCTACCACATATACACACAAGTAGAAACATCATTAAATCTGTGGGGGCGGTGGGGTAGCCTTGTGGTTAAAGCATTCGCTCGGCACGCCGAAGGCCCGGGTTCGATTCCCCACATGGGTACAATGTGTAAAGCCCATTCCTGGTGTCCCCCGCCGTGATATTGCTCGAGTATTGCTAAAAGCGGCGTAAAACTCAACTCACTCACTCACTCATTAAATCTGTAGAGACTGACCTGCGTGCACTAACACGCAACGTTCTCTGTTTCTACGTCACTCTGAGATGAAGTTTCAGTTGGTTTGATGGGAGAACGGAAGCAGCTTATGGTATATGTATTACTGAATCAGTTACTGTCACAAGACCACAATACATGTGCATCTTCCAGTAGATCAATTTGTATTTGACGTCAAGAGTACCTTTCAAAACGTCAATCCTACAGCATATCAACCTAGATGTTTCACTAAAAAAAGTAAAAACACAACAACGCTATCCTTCTCCATTTCACTTTACGCCTCGTAGGTGACATGTTTTCAGGACGAGAGCCATCCATTGGAGATTCTGCTTCGGAAGCAGGTATATTTGATCAAATTCGTTAAAGTAGGAGAGCAGGTTGATAGGCATCGTGATTAGCATCGCATGGTGCTCTGCCTTCAGCTGCTGCTGGCGACTCTACACGCCCACGATCTGATGGGAGCCGCGACATGAACCAGAAACCTTGTTCAGACATATTTAGGATGACATGCAGCTTGGGGTTAGCAGTGGTAAAACTAAGGGATCGCTTGTGTCAGTACGGATGCTGGATGATGGCAGAGATCGATATGGCTGTGTTCAACACTCTCGTGTGAGGTAGGCTAGACGCCATCGGTAATTCAATGATTTGTGGTGGGAAAATTAGATGTGGTCAGTTGCCCAGCTGGTCGATGGTTGGAATCTAATTATATATTTTGTTGCAGTCATCATACATGGTCCGCAACATGAAGTAATATACCGACGTAAATCTTGACTTTCATTAGTCTGCTGAGCTATGAGTATATATGAAAGTTCTCTCTTACCTGTAGATTTTATCGCATAAAATTGAAATTAGATCCTAAGGAGTAGCTGCTTCTATCAGACTGGGTTTATTAAGCTTGACCAATAAGAATGCAGAAATTTCTCAATTCATAGTCGAAAGAGAATCGCTCTTTTGATATTCAGCGGGGTTATGAGGGGAACGATGGGATTGAACAATAAAACCTTCCCTCAATCTTTATACCTCAAAATATTGATCCGTGTTCCACCTGGTCAAGAAGTCATAATTTGCAAAATTAAATACATGACTCCCCCACAAACTTTACAAAATATGCATGCATCCCATAATATGTGTCTATCTCACTCCCACATCCTGAATATTTAAAAATAGTTTCTAATCGTTTTGCTGTGGGGGTACATTGTGCCAATAGCCATGACAGATCAATGTACGTTTAAGCACATGGAGTTACCAAGAACATCTACGGTTAAGCCTGTTTTAAGTGAGACTAGTATTAAAACGTCTATTTCGTCTCTCAAACTGGCAGCTATTTTGTTTATAAAGGCAGAGTGGTTTTAATGTAAGATTTTAGAACGTCACTCAACATAAAGTACCACAAATATTCCAAATGCAATTCATCTTATGTCATCAAAACATATTTTGATCGAACCCAAATCTGATCATGCCATTCAAAACCAGCTTGTGTTGTATTACCAAAGTCGTTTGTGTAGGCATTTCTACATCAAACGGACTACACTAAGGAACAAACACAAGAACACAAAATTAGCCGATGGAAGATAATATTAGATTCCGTCACATTTTCCTTCTGTGCATGTTTACAATAAGAACAGTGACACTTAGATGACAATACTGTGTCAATACTATGACAACTGTGTCGAAGACGAAAGTCGTTTTTATGTGTGTGTCCATTTCACAATGATAGGTGTTTACAAGAGCGAAATGTATATTTTAAGATTAAGAAATGAATTTGTGCCGATTAGTTCTACCCAATATATTCATGAATTCATTACATCGATGACATGCGATTAAAAAATCTCAATGACTGTAAACAAACTGCACTGGATATACCAAGCCATTTTTATCCCTCTCTTAACTGAACAGTAATGCAATGAATATATACATATCAACCTAACAATAAATTTCTATGCAAATGGAAGGCAAGCATACATGACACACGTCTATAGTACATTGATTTACACATTTCAGCTTGACAGATTTGCATCAGAAAGATCTTGACTAGATTTATGACATGAGCCACGTCTGAACTAGATTAATTTACATGAAGCACATCTTAACTAGATATATTTACATGAAATTCATCTGAACCATACTACGTGTGTTAGGTTGTTCTTGTCGTACTAAGCATAACCATGACAAGGGTTTGCTAATAAGGAAGTCCTGATCAGACAATCCAGTGATTGATACAGTGAACAACAATCCAAGCCAGAGTGAGTATGGCTTAACACCGCTTTTAGCAATATTCAAGCAATATCACGGCAGGCGGACACCACAAATGGGCTTCACACATTGTATCCATATGGAGAATCGAACCCGGGTCTTTGTCGTGACGAGCGAACGCTTTAACCACTAGGCTACCCCACCGCCACCTCCAAGCCATACTGGTTCGACGAAACTATCTATGGTCCACATCACTGTGTCTGACCTTCTGTGCTGCTTACAACAACCATTGGCCGTTTAGGAACATTGCTAGTCAGAACTCCATAATAGGCGATGGGGGTGAAATGCCATGATGTAATCACGAGAATGTTGATGTTGCAGTCGTTCCCAGGGGAGATGCCGGTGTTTATGAGGGAGTACGGCAGCGGCCTCTACCAAGTCCACATCTACTTCATATCGAAGACCATGACAGAGGTGAGACATTGCGCTAGCACTAGTCATATAATTATACACTGTATGACACGTGTGTCATTGCTTCTGCATTTGCGAGTCGGTGAGTGTGGTATTAAGCTGAACAGAATTCCAGCACCGGACACATTAGGCTATACAGACTTAAAAAGGCCTTGAATTTGAAAGTTTGCCTTGAAAAGCCTTGAAGTTTGGTGTCAAAATTGGAAAGCATCACAATAGCATCAACAGTAAAATGTGTGCATGGTAGTAGGCTGTGTACATGCATTGGCAAATAAATAGTATTGCAATATATTGTGATTCAGGTATCCGTATTGCGATACGTATTGCGATATATTGTGAACTTATGTGTTTGACAGTGATTGACACGAATTCTGCATGTCAATCCTATTTCTTACATTATAAGTCCCTAAACATATATGTTATGGTTCTGATAACAGCAATCTCAAAATTAGGTTGCATAGTCATGGATTCTAGTTTTTAAATACAATTTATAGTATTACAGTATGCCGTTTTGTCATTGAATAACGAAGGAATATATTTGTTGTCAATGGAAGTCTGTGTGTAGATCTTAAGTTAAAATATAAAGATATTTGCAAAAACGTCACAAAATGTTCTTTACCCAATATACCGTTTCTCAGAAAATATTGCAGTACGCATTGTTTGAAAAGCGTATACCGTGCAGCCCTAGTGCATGGGTGCTGGAGTATTATTTGTACGTTCGTTTGACATACTAAAGTCAATAACCCAACTTCAAAAGCTTTGAGAATGACAGATGTAAGCCTTGAAAAGGAACTGAATTGCAATAAACTATGGTTAACGGACTCAAAGGGAGCTCTAAGTTTAGTTCGTTCTAACCGTTGTTCGTTATATCCATGTCGACAGATGTATAGATAAACATCAATTTCGTTGTATCCGTCCGTTCGTTATATGTTAGTTCGTTATATCTGTCCGTTTGTTGTATCAGTCAGTTCGTTGTATCTGTCCGTTCGTTATATCCGCCCGTTCGTTATATGTCAGTTTGTTGTATCTGTCAGTTCGTTATATCCGTCCGTTCGTTATATCCGTCAGTTCGTTATATCCGCCCGTTCGTTATATCCGTCAGTTCGTTATATCCGTCTGTTCGTTATATCCGTCAGTTCGTTATATCCGTCCGTTCGTTATATCCGTCCGTTCGTTATATCTGTCAGTTCGTTATATCCGCCCGTTCGTTATATCCGTCAGTTCGTTATATCTGTCCGTTTGTTGTATCAGTCAGTTCGTTATATCTGTCCGTTTGTTATATCCGTCAGTTCGTTATATCCGTCCGTTTGTTGTATCCGTCAGTTCGTTATATCCGTCCGTTCGTTATATCCGTCAGTTCGTTATATCCGCCCGTTCGTTATATCTGTCCGTTTGTTGTATCAGTCAGTTCGTTATATCCGTCCGTTCGTTATATCCGTCAGTTCGTTATATCCGCCGTTCGTTATATCCGTCAGTTCGTTATATCCGTCCGTTTGTTGTATCCGTCAGTTCGTTATATCTCTCCGTTTGTTATATCCGTCAGTTCGTTATATCTGTCCGTTTGTTATATCCGTCAGTTCGTTATATCTGTCCGTTTGTTATATCCGTCAGTTCGTTATATCCGCCCGTTCGTTATATCCGTCAGTTCGTTATATCTGTCCGTTTGTTATATCCGTCAGTTCGTTATATCCGCCCGTTCGTTATATCCGTCAGTTCGTTATATCTGTCCGTTTGTAATATCCGTCAGTTCGTTATATCCGCCCGTTCGTTATATCCGTCAGTTCGTTATATCTGTCCGTTTGTTATATCCGTCAGTTCGTTATATCCGTCCGTTTGTTGTATCAGTCAGTTCGTTATATCCGTCCGTTTGTTATATCCGTCAGTTCGTTATATCCGTCCGTTTGTTGTATCAGTCAGTTCGTTATATCCGCCCGTTCGTTATATCCGTCAGTTCGTTATATCTGTCCGTTTGTTATATCAGTCAGTTCGTTATATCTGTCCGTTTGTTATATCCGTCAGTTCGTTATATCCGTCCGTTTGTTGTATCAGTCAGTTCGTTGTATCCGTCCGTTCGTTATATCCGCCCGTTCGTTATATGTTAGTTCGTTATATCTGTCCGTTTGTTGTATCAGTCAGTTCGTTATATCCGTCCGTTCGTTATATCTGTCCGTTCGTTATATCCGTCAGTTCGTTATATCTGTCAGTTCGTTATATCCGTCCGTTCGTTATATCCGCCCGTTCGTTATATGTTAGTTCGTTATATCTGTCCGTTCGTTATATCTGTCCGTTCGTTATATCCGTCAGTTCGTTATATCTGTCAGTTCGTTATATCTGTCCGTTCGTTATATCCGTCCGTTCGTTATATCCGTTAGTTCGTTATATCTGTCCGTTCGTTATATCCGCCCGTTCGTTATATCCGTCAGTTCGTTATATCTGTCAGTTCGTTATATCCGTCCGTTCGTTATAAACGTGGTCCTATAGTGTATGGTGTACCATAGCTGTATGAACATTGCTACATTGGGCAGGTGGATGTTAAACTTTACGTATACACGTTCCGGTTTACAAAGTATGATAATGCACTCAGTCTGTAAGTGTATTTTGTGATAACAGATTTACTGAACATATTAAAAAGGTTTCGTACCAAATGATGTCATGGCGAAATTCGCAGTGAGGTTGGGGCCGTTTAAAAACGTATTTCGGTTTACATTACGATGTGCCAGCTTGGTATTGAATTTGAGCTCGAAGTGATGCAGGTTTTAGACATTTACCACTCTTTTGGAACCCATGAGTAGTTCTAGCATACCTGGAACCATAATCAGGTCGAGTCTGGAATCGGTCCAATGCAATACTATTAGCTCTTTGACACATTCAAGGAACGAACAGCGAATCAGTATGTCTCTGGTGCCTTTGGTACCCGTTTTGCTCTTTTGATATTGTTTGTTTAAAGGTCAAGGAAAATAATGCAAGTGACGAGTAACGTTGTATGTTTCAGTTGCCTTCTCTCATCATTCTGCCTGCACTGTTCGCCTGCATCAGCTACTGGATGATAGGTATGTAACGAGTTTCTGGATCAGACAGGTAGGCTCGTGTTGAGGTTATGTCCCAGACAAGAAAAACGGTCAATAAGAGATACAAGATATTCATCACCTTGTCTGTTACAGTAAAATGCTTTAAATAGTTCATACAATAAAACATTTACTATAAAATAAATAAAATAAAAATGAATAAATAAATGAAAACAATTTTAATAGGTCGTTTTGCCTTCATCACTACAATCGTCAATCGAGTTTTTTAATCTGAACGAATATGAGGTGGGAATAGCTTACTGGTGAAAGCGATCGCCCATCACCTCGTAGACCCCGGTTCGATTTCCTATGTTTGACTAAGATCAAAACGACTAAACGCTTTCAATATACATAAAAATCGATTGTAAACTATTATATAATGAGCTTTAGGGGTGAAACGGTACGCTCTTACCATGGTATTGCGGTTCAAGGTTTTCGGTTCTGTCCGTTTCGCTAGGTATATAAGAACTTACTTCGGGAAAATTGCGTCCGTCAAGCAAAGAAGTACATAGATTTTGACAAAATGATTCGATTTCTAGACATTTTAGAAAAGGTTTAAAAGGTTAATAAAATGACGGTACGAAAACCGAAAATACCGAATATTTGCATTGCGGTAAACCGAGCCTAAGGCAAAATCCCGCAGTTCTTCTAATACCGCAGTATACTGTTTCACCCCTAATGAGGTTGTGTTTTACGAATCAGTATCACAAAGCGATAATATCCAGAAATCGAAAAGCCCATTTCTTGAGTCCTCTGTAGTGATGTTACTGGAGCAAGGTAAACCAGCATCAAAGTAATTATACTCATCAATGATTTTGTATGACTCCAGGTCTTAATCCTTCTGTGACGTGCTTCCTGGTATTCCTGGCGATGATGATCCTTGTGGCCAATGTTGCGGCTTCTTTCGGTGAGGACACTGGAGTCACTACAGTACACCTTTCTCAGTGCAATCTCATAATTCTCTTTGATGATATAATTTTGTTTCAAATGCGAGAATATATAATCTGGTCACGATAAGGAAAACACTGTGCATAAACCTCTAAGCATGGGACACAATAAATATAAAGCATGAAGCATCTAATCAACATCTCCTGACACGCCTTGGCGACAGGAATATTTATACATACAAAAAATTGAAGACAAGAGACAGAAGACACGACACATCATACATACGATACACGTGACGTCACACAATATTCAAGGGGAGCCGTTCCACAAAGATATTAGCAATATTTGTATCTGAGTATTGCACCAAAATATTTAAGAAAAATGTATTGCTTAGGCACATGAATCAAATATCAAACTGTAATTTCTGTTGTCAAGGTTACTTGATCTCCACTGCGTCCGGATCCATTGACGTCGCCCTCAATATAGCACCTTCCCTCTTTATACCGTTCACACTCTTTGGAGGCTTCTTTTGAATAACAGGTATGTACTCTATTGTTACTATATTGAGAAGGTCAACTAACAATATGCAAATATTTTCGGAAACAACGTACACTTAGCACCTTTCTCGTCTCTGTTATGTACTAGTAAACTTTTCAAGTGTTTTTCTCCTTGGTTAGCAGAACGGTATGAAAGATGCTTGCTGGCAAGGGTTGGCCTCAATCATTGAGACAATGTATAACAAGCTTCTGCGAATTTAAGTTGACAAATATGATAAAATTGACTGAAAATAATTTCCTCATATCTGTACGTTTATACATACACTCTTCGAAAAAAGAAAGAAAAAGAAACGCATAAGCCAGTTTTAGAAGAATTTATTGCGTGAAAAGTCACACGTCTATAGACAAAGAGTTCACCAACACAACATCAGCCATTATTGTTGTTTCTGTTTACTTGGGTCCACACGATGGCGTCAAAGTCAGTACTTTGGATGGCCCATTGGCAGCAATTTCTGTTCGGCACCGTCTCGGCACAAACCGGATAAGTCGACAAAGTCGTTCTTACGGAATTCTTCCCACTCTTCCTGCAATGCGATGCCAGTTGTGGAAGTGTCTGGGGCGTGGTTTTACGTTGACCTACATGTCACTCGAGTTCATCCCATAGGTGTTCTATCGGGTTTAGATATGGTGTTCGGGAAGGTCATAGCAAGACATTGGCGTTAGAATTGGCAAGGTAGAGGACTGTGACGCGTGCTGTATGTGATGTAGCGTTGTCATGCTGGAACAACTCCCACTGTCGGTCCATAATCGGAAACATGTGACGCGGAAAGTCTTCGTTGATGTACCGATTTGCTGTCAAATTCCCCTAAACCACCACTAAATTAGATCTTTGAGTGCTGGATATCTCAGCCCACACCATGACACTTTCTCCACCGAATCTGTCGACCTGTCGAATGCAATTAGGGGCAAAACGTTTATTTCTCAGACGGTAAACACGCTGTCTTCCATCTCGCCGGTGAAGAAGAAATCGTGATTCGTCACTGAACCAGACTCGCCTCCAGTTTCCAAGGTTCCATTTCAGGACTTTACGACACCACCGCAAGCGATTGCGCCTATGGAAGTCGCTCAAAACAGGGCCGACAGTGGGCCTTCTTGGTCGAATCCCCACTTAACGCAATCAATTCCTGACAGTTTGGTCGGAAATTCTTCTCAAACCTGGAATGCTTAGTGCAGTCCTCACGGCTGTGGCAAGACGATGACGCAAGTGAGCAGCCCGGATGTAGCGGTTCCGGACTTGGGTTGTAACTCTTGGACGGCCGCTTCTCGGGCAATCTTGGGCGGAATTGGTCTGCAGTAAATGATCCCAAAGGCGAGATATGGTGCTCTCAGGAATGTTGACTGCGACTCCTCAAATTCAAGAGATGATTTCTTCTTTTCTATAAAAAAAACCCCGATTGACAAAACTAAGAACAACGTTTGCACTTTTATAGTGATCGATATCGCATGCTTTTCCGCTTACTTGCACGTGCATTTTGCTTTGCACGTGTTCTTGGTGACGTTTTGGCGAATATTTCTTCGAACGTTTCTAAAACAAGGGAAAAGTTAAAATTGCCGCTTTTGGGCGCTGAAGCTGTTTACAATCACACAAAGATGACGTTTAGGAAAGAAATAGTATATTTGTATCGCTTTGCCGCAGCTACATGGGTCCAATATTATCAAAATCACTTATGTGTTGTTTCTCTAAGAGTGAAATGTACATGTATGTATTTGTGTTTGAATATGGTCTGCCTTACTGCAGAGAAAATTGATCTATCCACAAATATGAAATTGAAAATATGTATTGTTATGCATACTATGCAGAATATGCAGGATAACAGACAAATAACACAATCATTCTATCATATTTAGACAGGCAGGTCTTCCTATGTTTATTCCAATGTCACGGCTTTTGACATGACATTGGTGCAACAGGGACATGTCATGCTCCAGACAGTATGCATTTTTGTTTCCAGTTACATTGTCAGTTTGTGACTCGATGATGCATGTTTGAAACGTTCTTTAGCTATTCATACGAAGACACCAAATGTAGTTTGATGAATATTAGTGTTGTCTATTTCAGCTCAGTTCCTGTCTATTTCATATGGCTGCAATATTTGTCATGGTTCAAATATGCAAACGAAGTTCTAGTAATTAACCAATGGGACACCATCGACAATATAGGTGAGGCAACTGTTTGAAGATGTTATTTTCCTGAATCATTGTGCCCAATTTAAAACTAAATGTGATTTTGTCAAGTGTGACGTTTTCAAGAAAGAAATAACAAAAACAAAACAAAACAACAACATATATCACAACTGGCTTAAACAACGATTTTATGTTTTGAACATTTTGAAAACATATTGATTCAGAAGAATTTTGGTTCGAACGGATACTAATGCCAGAGATTAAAACGTTGGAGGGAAACAATTGTTCTTTCTTTTTCAGTATTTTTGATAAATTGGATTTAAAGCATTGTATGCCAAGTCGATCAATGTTTAATGTCTGGATATATTTCATGAGGTTAAGCTAGACAGTGAGATACTTGAAAACACTGGCAACAAGCTGGCAGATTGTGAAACACAATTTCCCGGAAACTATCATAAAATTAGTCCAATCTATATCATCTTGTTTGTTAAATGGTTAAACACTGTCTGCAGTAGTAACGATCTATCTTCACGTGATGCAATAGTAACCGCTGTGATGTGTCATATCAGTTCATTACCTATGTTATATTTTAGCTTGCGGAGAAGCTGCAAACTATACATCATCCGATCTATGTTTTCGGAAAGGGAATGATGTCATAGAATACCTAAATTTTGACAAGGTGAGTTTCCTGGGTTTTGTAGCACTAATCAATATATGTTTTACGTGGCTGTGTATATATAAACATAATTTGTTTTTGTGCAGTAGGACAAAAGGATGCAGTTTCATTCCTACATTTACATATATTCTATAAAGTAAGACCCGTTTAATCCGGACAGTATATTAAGCTGGTTCTGATATATGTCCAGTTTAGGGTATTTTCGGATTGATAGCTGGGACTGACTAATGTGTAAACTTCATGGCAGTGTTCCTTTATTCAGTCTCAGATTTCCTCCCACGGTGCTATTCAAAGCTGGTGATGAAAACTGAAAAGTATTAAAGGAACACTTGAAGTTTCATATGTTCCTTTATTTGTTTCTCTCAGTATATATGGGGTTTCCGGATTAACGGAGTTCCTGGCTATCATAGTTTATTTTTTGGTGAGAAACCAAAAACATGTCAGTACAAAACTTATTAAAACGCTCGTGAGGTATTTTGAAAATGCACGACCGCTTGATTGAGTTCGTGAGTGTTCCTTGGCGCAGAGATTTTTAGTGGGTTATTGAATAGATTTTTAGGTTCCCGAATGATTTCGAGAGCTCCTCAGATCAATCCTGAGTAGTGTCTGTGTCCATGCGTAAAATAGACACCGGAGGCACCAGAAGTCCCCACACGGTTTACAATTTGCTTAGGTTTGAAATTCAAATGCATGCAAATTCAATGACGCTATTAACATTCTGTCACACTTGGGAAGAAACACATATCATGTCATAAGTAAACCAAACTAATTTGTGTATTTCAGGGAACGTATTACCTGGACATCGGACTCCTGTTTGTACTGCTAGTTGGATTCAGACTCCTCGCCTTCTTCCTGTTACTTGTGAAGGCAAAACGATCAAAGGCATAAACTCGATCCATGTCATGCACAACGAGATATGGGTTTCAAGCCGAAGATGTGGGCGATTATTCACGCCCACCCGTGAAGGGTTCGTGTTTGGGGCTACGTCATGACTTATGACTCAATCATCATGGCATTTGCCGGTTCCATGTCATAATGACACACATTACACACATACACATATTTGTATAGCGCACATATCCAGCTCAGCTGCTCAAAGGCGCTTTGTTTTTCCCTCGATCACTGGATGTCAATCTCAACGGCACGTCGTATTATCAATGGCAAATCCCTGGGGATCATACAACTCCTGCAGCCAATAGGCGCACCGAGTTAGTGTGGCTTTCTCATCCTTACGAGGTACCCATTCACAGCTGGGTGGACTGGGACACATAGTCACAGTAAGTTTACTGCACGTTGCTGTACCCGCATGTAGGTGTTTGCACGTATTCATGTGGCCACCATCTGGTCATATACCAACGGATTCGTGGGCTCTTTTAAGTGCACAGGGTTGTGTACTGTACACCAGGGGTTGTGACAATACTGAAACAGTCTGCACACAAAGTTGACTCCAAGGTTTTTTACACCCGGTCAGAGGTGGGCTCGATCCCGTCACCTCAAGCGGGGCGGTGGGGTAGCCTAATGGTTAAAGCGTTGGCTCGTCACGCTGAAGGCCCGGGTTCGAATCCCCACATGGGTACAATGTGTAAAGCCCATTTCTGGTGTCCCCGCCGTGATATTGCTGGAATATTGCTAAAAGCGGCGTAAAACCAAACTCAGTCTGTCAGTCAGTCACCTCAAGCTCGCTGGATCACTAGTCTGGCACTTTAGCCAATTCGCCCATCACGCCCCCAAATGTAAGCTGTGATGTGGAATAACATGCACATAACCTAGATGCTCCTCAATGTGTTATGGGATTCACGCCGTAGGAAGGACAAGTGTTCACGCCCACACGTTGCAGGGTTCGTGCTTGGGACCAGCGTGTGGCTGAGAGTGTGAACTCTAATCCACCGGACCACAGTGTTAATTATCAGTAACCGCTTTATGCGACGAAGCGTCTGTCCCATGAACTGTGATCCAAGAGGCGTTTTCTGATTCATGGAAAATCAATAACTGCCTATTATGGAAACGTTAACAGACCAAACGAAAGACACTAATTCGTTTTAAGAAAACAGGTATACAGATCCTATTAAATATTCATTACTGAATAGTTAGAACATATTTTCTCATCACAAACAAAACAAAAACAAGCTATTCCAGAATAATGCCCTTCTGCGTCGGAATGCGATGATATGCGACTGTTATGTGACAATTTGTGACATCCGATCCTCATTTTAGTCAAATTTGACGGCAAAGAAATCTTCGCGACACGTCCTGTCTCAGGCAATGGTGGTGACGTTCCATGCACCTAAATTCTGAGAAACTGTTCAGTTACGCCATGTTAACATTCGTAAAGTCAGAGGCCAAGTAAAAGAAAGAGTAGACCGAGGCAGATGGGATGTTACACCTAAAGTTCCTTATTCAGAGAGAGATCTGTCCATTGTATATCGAGGACATGAACCCACGGCTGTGTACTAAATATATCGTAAAATGTTTCTTATACTTTTGTTTAAATATGCATGTGCACCAAAGTCAGACAATATGTGTCTAACATGAAGTTATTCAGACATTTTGACCTGATTTGATATCACACTGTGTCTGAAGGCCTCTTAAATGCATAGAGACATTGACACTGAGTTTGCATGATCATCAGTTAGTGTCAATCGCATCAAAGGTAAATAAGCGTTCACCGCTAGACCAAGCTGTCTTGGCCAAGCGGACCTCCTGCTCAGTAAATAAGACAAAATACACAAACCAAACAACGGATTGTTTATTCAAGGTTTATTGGCCTGCTCTGTCCGGATTATAAAGCAATGTTTTTTATGTGTCCTTTTCGGGCCGATCCTTTGGTCGGATATCCGAAATAATGAGAGTCAGAGATAAGGAGATACAGAGCTTTTTCATTATGACAACAAAGAAGGATTACGTCGGGACCGTAAGTTCAGTCCTGTTTATACAGCAATCCGAGAAAGACAGAGTCCGAGTTTGACGGAGTGCACTGTATAAGTTTGTGTTCAATTCTGATTGACCTTTAACAACATGTACCGTAGGCCTACATTCTTCACGAATACAGATCTATTACTGTCTTGAACATAACAACCTTATATGCGATGTCTGATGTAGTTTGTTTCTGATGATGTACAAATCGTTGCTCTTTCTGATTAAAAATACAACACAACGGTACTTTCGTTTTTATTCACATCAAACATGGATGAATGCATTAATAGAATGACAAGATCGGGGGGAGGTCAACAACCCTTTACATCCCATTGGACATGACCTATCAGGGGGAGGTCAACAACCCTTTTCATCCCATTGGGTATAACCTATCGGGGGGAGGTCAACAACCCTTTACATCCCATTGGACATGACCTATCGGGGGGAGGCAAACAACCTTTACATCCCATTGGACATGACCTATCGGGGAGGTCAACAACCTTTTACATCCCATTGGACATGACCTATCGGGGGAGGTCAACAACCCTTTACATCCCATTGGACATGACCTATCGGGGGAGGTCAACAACCCTTTACATCCCATTGGACATGACCTATCGGGGAAGGTCAACAACCCTTTACATCCCATTGGACATGACCTATCGGGGAGGTCAACAACCCTTTTTCATCCCATTGGACATGACCTCATCGGGGGGAGGGGTCAACAACCCTTTACATCCCATTGGACATGAGGGGAGGTCAACAACCCTTTACATCCCATTGGACATGACCTATCAGGGGAGGTCAACAACCCTTTACATCCCATTGGACATGACCTATCGGGGAGGTCAACAACCCTTTACATCCCATTGGACATGACCTATCGGGGGAGGTCAACAACCCTTTACATCCCATTGGACATGACCTATCCCATTGGACATGACCTATCAACAACAACCTTTACATCCCATTGGACATGACCTATCGGGGAGGTCAACAACCCTTTACATCCCATTGGACATGACCTATCGGGGGAGGTCAACAACCCTTTACATCCCATTGGACATGACCTATCGGGGGAGGTCAACAACCCTTTTCATCCCATTGGACATGACCTATCAGGGGAGGGTCAACAACCCTTTACATCCCATTGGACATGACCTATCGGGGAGGTCAACAACCCTTTACATCCCATTGGACATGACCTATCGGGGAGGTCAACAACCCTTTACATCCCATTGGACATGACCTATCGGGGAGGTCAACAACCCTTTACATCCCATTGGACATGACCTATCGGGTGATGGTCAACAACAACCTTTTACATCCCATTGGACATGACCTATCGGGGAGGTCAACAACCCTTTACATCCCATTGGACATGACCTATCGGGGAGGTCAACAACCCTTTACATCCCATTGGACATGACCTATCGGGGAGGTCAACAACCCTTTACATCCCATTGGACATGACCTATCGGGGGAGGTCAACAACCCTTTACATCCCATTGGACATGACCTATCCGGTGTTGGTCAACAACCCTTTACATCCCATTGGACATGACCTATCGGGGGAGGTCAACAACCCTTTACATCCCATTGGACATGACCTATCGGGGAGGTCAACAACCCTTTACATCCCATTGGACATGACCTATCGGGGGAGGTCAACAACCCTTTACATCCCATTGGACATGACCTATCGGGGAGGTCAACAACCCTTTACATCCCATTGGACATGACCTATCGGGGAGGCCAACAACCTTTACATCCCATTGGACATGACCTAGTGGGGAGGTCAACAACCCTTTATATCCCATTGGACATGACCTATCGGGGGAGGTCAAAAACCCTTTACATCCCATTGGACATGACCTATCGGGGAGTGGTCAACAAACCCTTTACGTCCCATTGGACATGAGCTATCCGGGGGATGGGGGAGTCAACAACCCTTTTTCATCCCATTGGACATGACCTATCGGGGGAGGTCAACAACCCTTTACATCCCATTGGACATGACCTATCGGGAAGGTCAACAACCCTTTACATCCCATTGGACATGACCTATCGGGGAGTGGTCAACAACCCTTTACATCCCATTGGACATGACCTATCGGGGAGTGGTCAACAACCCTTTACATCCCACTGGACATGACCTATCGGGGGGAGGTCCACAACCCTTTACATCCCATTGGACATGACCCATATGTTCTAATGGTGTAGCAAGTAAAACCCAACTCACTCACTCCTATAGTAACCGCCATAATTGCAACATATATAGAACAGCAAATCAATAAAATAGCATCTGAAACGTATCTGAAAATAGTATTTGACACGAAAATATTTACAAAATCGGGTCTTCATTCGGGTCCTTATTTCCTATTGATGTCTTGCGAGTCAAGCATTCAGTTGACAACAGGCACGTGACAAAATATCAGAGATCACTTCGGTAACTAATCTCCTTCACATAGCAAACATACAAATGTTTGAAACTCTCAATAAGAGTGGACGCTCTTTGATATGCGACCTCCTCCGTGGTGTAGTGGTTAGAGCGTCCGCCTGGAGAACAGAAGGTCGCGGTTTCGATCCCCGGCCGCGTCATACCAAAATATTGTACTTGTTGGTCCCTGCTTGGCGCTCGGTATTAATGGGTACAACAAGGACTGGTCGGCTCGGAGTCAGTATAATGTGTCTGAGTGGGGTATTCATGCTCAGCTGCGGCATGGTGTCTCAGTGAGCCAGCACTATAAAACCAGCTTAAGTGTGGGCTAGTACAAGCAGCCACACAAGCACACGCATGCACGGTGTCATATGAGCGAAATATTCTTAAGTACGACGTAAAACCCCAATTCACCTCACCATCTTTGATATGAAAGAGAAAGAGCATAGTCAACTGTTCCTCAAGAATTGTGAAATGTGGCTGCAATATCGACTATTGATAAGCTGAATTCATCTCTCTCTGAGGATAATAGGTA